GATGAGCTGGGGAATGCTGCTTGGTGGTGTAGCACACAGCACACGTTTAACACACATAAGGTCTTGGGTTTATAGACAATACTCCCCTAGTGGCAGGGATGTGGACATGCTGAGGTTGTTGCTACTAAGACATATGGTAGAGAATTTTTCATTAATCTACTATGTTTAATTATAAATCTTTGCATAATTTATTTGCACTTTATCCCAGGAAAGAGTAGAAAAAAACATGACATAAAAAACATAAAAAAAACTGTCTGAGGTTTCAGGCATCCTAGGGGCTTCAGGGAATGTCCAGACATCTTTTCAATGGTACTGAGCAACTACTGTATTAATAATAAAACCAGACAAATTCAAGTAAGATACATTCTTATATCAAAAGCATGCATTCAACTAAGAGATTCATAAACTAAAAAGTAAATAAGTCAAACTTGCTATATATAAGCTTTTAATTTCCTTACTATTTATTTTTTAATTTTAATTTTGTTTTAAAAATCAGGTCAGTCAAGATAATCAATGGGTTTTAAAAGGCACTTGCTGCCAAGGCTGACGATCTGACTTGATTCCTGGAACCCACACAGTCGGAGGAGAGAACTGAAGTATATATTGTGTCCTTTGACCACTATACAAACACCCCATGATGTGTACACACACTAAATAAAATGGAAAAAATATATTCTTTGCTATGTCTTCTCAGCAGTCCAATTTTGGAAAAACTGGGCATATGCTGAATTTTTCCATTTAAAATAAATTAGTAAGATGGCATCCTGCCAAATTACAAGCACTACAAAACCCCTAAAAGATGAAGAAGAAAACTATTTCATCAGTTTGCACAAATAAGAGAAAGGGGGGAAAAAAGTAGCCAATCTCTTCATTATGAAAGCCAAGCCAAAAATTAAAAGCTGGCTGAGGTTTAAATTGAAGCACAGTTAGTCCTGCCAAAAACTTCTGATCTGGACAAAGGGTAAATTTAACATTTCCATGATACTTACAGCAAGCTGTTTGGGTAGGTTTTCTGCAATACGACTTAATAATGTCTTTGAAGGTTTTTCTGAGCACAGCAAAACAAGGTTGACATTTCTATCTCCTCGGAGGAGTAATCCTTTTGCCAGTACTCCCACTCGCAACACCCCTTTCAGAGCTCTGTATCAAAATCAACTTACGTTAAAATACAGTATTTCCTCAACAAGAACTATAATTTCCTTCAAGTATAATATTAAACTAGATGACTTTTGCACTAGCGAAATTTTCTTCAAACATAGAGGAAAATATAAACTATTTTAAACTATATATCATTTAGATAAACAACACACACTAAAAATAAAACAACATTAATAGATGGCTCAGTGATTAAGAGTGATCGTTTGTGAGGAACAGAGTGCAAATCCCAATACCCACATAGCAAGCTGTATTTGGCAGAACCGGATTCTTTAGCTCCATGGGGCTAGACACCTTCTTCTGGTTTCCAATGCACATATATGCATATACTCACACAGATACAAATAAAAACATTTTTAAAAATCAAAAACTGTATCAAGGTCTAAGTTGGCAAAGAGACAACTAAAACAAATACTGTCTATCTTACAGAATCTTAAAAGAATAGCACAGGCTGGTTTCAAACTTATAATCCTCTTGCTTATACTTTCTGTGTTCTAGGTTTTAACTGCGGGCCCAAACCCATAGCCCCTGTGTTTTACTTTTCAAGTCAGAACTGTAAGAGAAACATTAATACAAAAAAATATTCCCAAATGGGAAAAAGAAAAATTAGAAAAAAATCACAAATATAAAAAGATGTTAAAGCTTTGCTAACTTAATGCTTTTGATCAATGTTTTTAAAAGGTACTAAAATATAGACAAAGTGGAGACAAGATGCAACACATAAATAAAAACAGAAAAGAGCTTAATATAACTGAAAAGTTATAAGTGCTACTTTGAAACAGATTTAGTATGTTTTGTAATAAACATTTATTAAATTTTAAAAATCAACAAAAAGCCTGGTGGTGGTAGAAATGTATGTTAAGCCTTGTAGCTAAAATACAAATATAGTTAATTATCTGTGGACTAACATCAGAAACTCAGTTTCCCCGTCTCCAATTTTTATGTATATACATATGTAAATGTCTGCCATCAGTTCTGGAGCTGAAGTTACTACTGGTTGTGAGCTGCCCGATGTGAGTACCAATAACAGAACACAGGTACTCTAAACTAGAGCAGCAAACATACTAAGCCATCTTGACAGCCCCTTAACAATCTTATTTATCTTTATAAATATAAATGCTCATGAAAAGGAAATAAGTAATTTGTAAACTCACCTGTCTTTACCTCCCTCTTTTTTATCATCTCCCTCTTTGTTCTTGTTCTTCTCGTGTTCAGACAAACTGTCTGACACAAGTTTTAAAGCACGTTCAGTGATAGAAACAATTTTCTGAACTGCTTGTAACTCTTCTTCAGTTGGATAAATGGTTGCATGCTTTGTCATTACATAACGATCATCAGATGAGTCAGGGCGACGTAAGGGCTACAGAGAGAAAAAGGTTACTTTTCTGAATAAAAGAAATTCTAATTTTTCAATTCAGATATAGTTACTAAAGTTACTAAGCTTCACAATAAGAAAGTCAATTAAACAAAATTTCACTTAAAAATCTTCTTTCTTTCTCCTTTTTTTTTTAAAGATTTATTATGTATATAGTGTTCTGTCTACAAGCCAGAAGAGGACACCATATGTCATTACAGATGGTTGAGTCACCATATGGTTGCTGAGATTTGCACTCAGGAGCTCTGAAAGAGCAGCCAGTGTGCTAAAACTCTGAGCTATCTCTCCAGACCCTCTGTCCCAAACAAAACTGTTATATATAGATACAGATATGTGTGTATTATTTATTTGTATGTATGTATGTACGCACGCACGCACACACACACCAAGGCTATGAAATTGCTTCTTAAATTTTGTAGTGTTATACTCAAACTTGAGAAATAGAATACGAAGTTCTCTACTACTGACCTAATCTCTCTCCTTGTAAATGCTTTTTTTCAGTGATCTGAAACTCACTTTGTTTTCGGTAATAGTAATAAGTTTGCTCAATAATAATAATAACAACAATAATCTGTAATGGCAAATGAGTTACCTCTGACATTAGAATTTTTTTCCAATCTAAGGAAAAATAAAGGCAGGAAGTCTCTTAAATACAAAATATTTAACAAAAATTTTAAGGATGGGTGGTGGTGGCATCTGCCTTTAACTCTAACATTTGGGTAGCAGAGACATGCTGATCTCTGTGAGTTTGAGACTAGCTTGATCTATAGAGTGAGTTCCAGGACAGTCTGTCTAGAATCTATCTCGCCGCTCCCAAAGGAGCTCTGCATCTAGAATTCAGAAAGTATCGAAAATAAAGAGTACAAAGGAAACTTGACTAAGTTCTTACGCATAAAGACATTAGCATTAAGAATCTTTAAGAGAATGACTAGCTATAGTCAAGACAAAACTGATGACATTATTACTCAAAATCAGCTCACAAAACATCTTCCTATATTGAAGGAGGATTCAATTCTCATACCCATGTAAGCAAAGCAGACACTTACTGCGGGACCCTGTGGCTGGGGAGGCATGCCTGGTCGGACTCCCAAAAGACCTAATGGGCCTGGAGGACCATGAGGATAGCCTCCATCAGGCATTCGGCGGCGATCATCCCAATGATGCTGCTCTTCCTCCATTCTTCTCCAGTACATGTCCTCTTCATAACGTCTGGTGGACAAATGATACATTAAGAACAAACAAAATAATCAGCTTAAGAACTTCCATCAATTAGCAACATAAAAACCTATTTTTAAAAAGTATTCAAGGCAGCAAGACTCAGGGAGTTCCATTCCTGGGATCCAAATGAGAGAACAGATGCCCTTTGACCTCTGCTCACAGAGTGGCACACATGCTTGTAATCATCCTGACTTTGGCATATATAAGAGCACAAACACAAAATGATTAAACAAACAAAACAATACTCAAAATAACTTAGTACTAACTATCCTACCTCCCCTTTACTCCAATTTCTACTGTATTTTTTAATTGAGAGGTAAATGGAGTGAAAGAGACAACAATAAGGTAAGAATAAGACTTCATACCTCAAGAACAAAGTAGAACAGAAAACAGATACCTCAGCTTACTCTAATCATTTAAGGTAATGATTAGTAAATCCAAATATCTATAAGCAAAGGAACCTACCTGATAATGAATTGTGTGTGTATGTACATGTGTGTGCATGTGCCATGGTGTCCATGTGCAGGCCAGGGGACAACCTCTTGTTTGTTTGTTTTCCAAGCTTTGGAGCCTATCCTGAAACTAGCTCTTGTAGACCATGCTGGCCTTGAACTCACAGAGATCCGCCTGCCTCTGCCTTCCACGTGCTGGGATTAAAGGCGTGCACCCACCGCCTGGGCCAAAGGACAATCTTTAATATTGGGTTCCCTCCTTACATCTTGTTTGAGACAAAGTCTATTTTTTTTTTCTTTTCCTGCAGAACATGCCAGACTAGCTTGCCCACAACTTCTGGGAATTCTCCAGGTATGTCTCCCATTACAGATATAGGATAGGATTACAGATATGAATCACCAGGTCCAACTTTATATGGATTTTGGGGATTCAAACTCAAGCCCTCACCATTTGTACAATAACCACTTTATGCAAAGCTCCATCTTCTCACCTGAGTTTTTTTTTTAAACAGCAAAGTTCTTCATTCATGATAAAGCAGTACAAAATGAAGTATTTTTTTAGCTATAAAAAAGGAACAATGGTAGCAACCCACACTTTCATCATTGGATAAATACATGGGTAGTACATGGCAGATTATAACAAGTAGAAGACAAATCTTTGGCTAGAGATAGCTGTGGTTTCTAGTAAGTATCGCCAAAAGAAATACAGGCTATATTGCCAACGTTCCTAGAATAACTGTGAAATCTTGTAAATCTGTCAATTCAGCAGAAATTACATTTACCCAAGAAAACACTTAAGTGTGCTCGCTTCAGCAGCACATCTACTAAAACTGGGACAATACAGAGAAGATAACATGGCACCTGGACAAGGATGACACGCAAATTCACAAAACATTCCCTATTAAAAACAAAAAAACACTTAATGAATTCAAAAGATGGTTATCTGGTATACAGCCTATTCACTGGTTAACATTTTCAGAATCTATTTCTGTTTTGTATTGGTCTAGGCTAGTATAATAAATTTGTTTAAAACAATAATAAAAGTGTGTGCATACTGATTGCAATTATAAAAACTACCAATATTTCCAGGTAGTGTGTTTTAAAGTCACCTGAGGATTGGGTAGAATACTTCTCTGTTACTTAAGACTTGAGAAAAAAAAGAACAAGAAACAAACAAAAAACCAGCTTAAAAGTTCAAGAAAATCATGTTTAGTCCAATGGTGTGTTTGTTACTGCTAAAAACTGTTTACATAATATAAGGGTAGGAATTTTAATTATTGTTTATAAACTCAGGCTCAGTATATGAACATTTTTCCAAACACTGAGTAGGTACTTAAGATAATTATATTTGATATATGAGACTTAACTATATAATCTAGTCATAGAAAGAATTCCCAACACTTAACGACATAAATTTAAAGGAAATTATTTTTACCATATACATAAATTAATGTATTATCTATCACTGAAACCTAAAGGGAGCACACAATAAAGTGTGAGTAAGCAACTTTACAATAAAACATACAGGCTATGTAAACATATACATAATACAAAGATAATAAATCTTTAAGAAAAGTTTAGCTTGGGTGTGTACACCTGTAATATCGGTATTGGGAGGAGATCACTGGGATTTGCTGCCCACCAAGTGTAGTTCTTGGTTCCATCAGAGTTTTGTCTTGAGGACGTAAGTCAGGGAGTAAAAGGGCAGGGCACTTAATGTCGTACCCTGGCCTCTGCATGCATGTGCATCAACACATATACTGCACACACACATCTTCCTACAACACACACCCATACCCAAACATCTTTGGAGACATGCATAACAAACAAAACAAAACAAAAAACAGACACAAAAGATCACTGTATAAGCTAATTATCTAAAACCCTAATGAAATCTATAGAATTTATAAAGATGGAAAGGAGATTAGTGACTCCATGGTACTGAGATGGGACAGTAAACATGGAAGACAAACTGGGAGTGATTGTTAATGGGGCTATGAAATTTTTTTTTTTAGGGGTAGTAAAATATCACTGATAGTGATGATTGCTTTACAATTCTTTGTTACAACAAAATCTTACAATTAAATTTAAACAGTTTAAATATAAATTTTTATTGGTTCTAAACAGAAGCAGCTATCAAAAAGTATCACATTTCTTCAGGAGCTACATTTTTTAAAAACTTTATTTTAAATTATACATATTTGTCTGTGTGAAGAGAATGTGCACATGCTGAGTTCAGGATCCTCTAGAGATAACATTAGAGACAGCGACCTCAAATGCTGGAAACTGAACTTAAATGTCATCTGCAAGAGGGGCATGTGTTCTTGACCCCTGAGCTACCTCTACAATCCTCAATTTATTCATATACTTAATATATATAATACCGTTTACCACTTTTCTCATGGATCCTTGACTGGGCTGTGGGGCAACACTATATAGGCCCTACATTGTATGGTGGTCAGACTTTTAGGCCAGCTAGTACCTGACCACACAGGAGGTGGTCACCTAGCCTTTTAGACAAGATGTCGCCATCATAAACAAAAGATCAGGATATGCTAATATCATTTTGCTCCTTTCTTTGTAATTATGGAGATCACCTGGGAAGAGGTATTAATCCAGGCTACATGACAGCAGCCATAGTTGCAGACATGACTTTAGGCCTGATCACTTAGGAAACAGAATGCTAACAAATTTCCCCCTCAGTTTATGTTTTTGTATAGAAGCTATTTGGAGAATAAACATGGGGGAATTTTCAGGATGTGAACTCAGGATTTCATGAGGGATCCCTGAGAATCTCCCTCCTGATAAAGCCATGTGAATTGTGTCTTTATTCCCATGCCTCCCCTCTGGCCCAAGAAAATAATTTATGGTCTGGGCTGGCACTGGACCCCGACCCTGGGCTTGAACTTTGGCCTTGAAATCACATGCCTTTGCTGGGATTGAAAATGTGAGCCACCACAAAACCCTTCATACCAAGGTAACAATCAAACTAAGTATAGTATACTAAGCATTCTAATGTTTATCTTTTTTTGATTTGGATCTTAGTGAACACTGAAAGTACATCAAATAAATCTGAATATGGAAATTATACACAGAATAGGGTTTTTTTTTTGTCCTTAAGGCAGAAGAACCACTAAATGCCATAAAATTAAAAGTTAAAAACACTACCTCATTTCCATCCTCCAGCGTTCCTCCTCTTCTCGTCTCCGCCAATATTCCTCCTTCTGCATTTGCTTTCTCATTTTTTCTTCTTGAATCTTTCTTGCTCGAATACTGGGCTTCACTTCTACTTGCAAATCTGGATTTACTTTTTTCTGTTAATTCCAAGAAAACATTTTTAAAAAGGAGCGGACCCCTTCAACAAACTAAATTCACTAAATGCAATTTATTTTCGTATTTATTGTCTGTGTGCACATATGCATCCGTAACAATGCATGTGTGGAGATCAGAGGATACTGTATGAGTTATCTCCTCCTACCATGTTGATTCCAAAAATCAAATTCAGGTTATACAGGTACAAAGTGCCTTACCTGCTTAAAACCATTTTAAACTATACAATTTCACAGTCTTTCATCAGAGGTTTATTTATAAATTTCATGTAGCAAAAGTATATATTGGTTTCTTGTTTTCATTTGTGAGAAAGGGTTGCCTTCAAACTAAAAATTTGTAATGGTACTGTCCTTGAACTGCTGAACTCTTTCATCTGCTTCTATCCAAGTGAAATGTTGAGAGTACAGCCATGTGCTACTACACCCAGTTTATCTAGTGCTGGGGATCCAACTCAGGACTATGTCAACTTAACACTCTATCAACTGAGCTATTCCCAGTCCTCAGTGCCAGAATATTGTTACAATTTCCTACTGAAGTGTACAATTAGGTTGAATCAGAAAAATCTTTTCACCCCAAACCAATGCTCTATAAAAATCCCTCTGCTGGCATGTTCATTTATTACTTAATTTGGTTGAAGCCAAACATGAGTGAACATGGCCTGGGTACATGGATTCAAGTTACCATGAATGGCATATTCCCATCCCAGTTTTAAAAGAAAAACCACATACCTATTCTACCAGTCCAGGCTTTTTTTTTTTTTAAGCAACTTTTAACATGTTACTATGTGAAGGTAGGTTATGATGAATTTCTAGTATAAAATAAATGAAGAGATTTTCCAGTACTATTTACAGATTTAATTTTACCAACATAAAGAAGGTAGGTGAAGTTATATTCTGTAGACTCAATGTGAAACTATTATTATACAACTTCTTGACCCAAGCAATATTTTAATTTTGCTGGATTCTTCTTTAGCTAGTTACTACAAATATAAAGAACAGGGCTACTATTATTACTTAAGTATAACTAATAAAATAAATATCTGATTCTTTCAAATTGAATGTATCATTAGGATATGCTAGTTTCAGAATGGAAGGTCTAGTGTTTTACAAAAGGACACGGGCTGGAGAGACAACTGGCTCAGAGGCTAAGAGAACTGGCTGCTCTTCCAGAAGATCCTGGTTTGACTCCCAGCACAAAATATTCCCATCTATAACTCCAATTCCAGGAGAACTAATGCCTTTTCTTCTGACCTCTCTGGGCCAACAGTCAAACACGACTCAACGACATACATGCAAGCAAAATACCCACGTGCAATAAAAATAAAGTTAACAAAAATCTTGAAAGGACAACAGCTCAGTAATATTTCCTTACTTTATACTGAAGTCGATGTCTCCGCCCTTTTAAGTGCATCTCTTTAGCATTGGGGTCATTAAAGCTGCATTCACATAACTTACAATGGAAGCGAATGACTTTTCCCTCATCGTTTCGTACCTTGGTGTGAAAAAATAGAATCTCTGATCATGTTGGGAGCAAGCAGAATTTGAAGTGGGGTAAAAACAAACGAAAACATTTATAATTTTTCATTTCTGTATTTTCAATTTATTTATATTGTTTTTCATGATGGAGTCTCAAGAAGCTAAGAATGGCCTTAAACAGCTGATCCTCCTGCCTTCCCAATACTGGTGTGCACCAACATGCTGATCTAATGTTGAAATTTATTTTTAATCCCAACCTCCACTCCCCCATTCAAGAGTTTCACTACTGTAGCCTTGGTTAAAATGGAATTCTTCAATATGGACTAACCGGACCGTGACCTCATAGAGATCCACCAGTCTCTGCCTCCCCTCACAGGCACATGCGGGCAATGTGCCAGTTTTCACATTACTGAAGATAATGACCATTCACTTCCTCCCATCAGTCAGCAAATGCCAACAAATCTACAAGGAGTGGCATGGTTCTGTGAGGCTCTGCACCATCCATGACTGAATGTTTAAAGCCTCCGTATTAAGGTGATCCTGTATGGGTCAACCATGCTTCCCAAATTTAGCTAGATGTCTTAAATTTACCAGTTACTGACTACCTGCTTCTTGGAAATGAGAATGATTAAAAAACAAACAAACAAACAAACAAACACCAATTTTGCTATACAAACTTCTCAAAGCTCAAGACTTTGATGATACATACAAAAGTCAAGATGCATTTTTTTTTAACTGCACAGTGAGAAAAACAGACTGAGACGATACTATTAAGTAGAAATTGTGCTATTAAGGCTGGATTAGAATTAAACTGTCTAAAGATTAGATTTAATTAACCTAAAACATTAAAAATAAAAGTGCCTGAGAACACATTTTAAAAGGTAATCAAATCTTACCTTTATAAGATATATAATTAGTCATTTATAATTACTTAACTTAAATATCCTAGCTGTATACCTTATTAACAGTCAACATATTATGTATTATCTTTTGAAAGAGAAACAGAATAAGGATAAACAGTTACCCAAACATTACTCCATAACACTCACTCAATTTACCGAATTGTCACAACTTTATTGGGCAAACATCCTAATGTTATAA